GTGTGGATTTTGGTATCCCCGATTTACATGCAATTGTGCTGTTTTCTGAGTTGGTGGGAGTAGAACGTTTCACGTTTTTCCCTGATACCTCTATGCCATCTTTAGCTTTCGAGGAACTACACGAGGCTGCATCAGGACGGCAACTTGGGCAAATGTACCAGAACCATGGGCATGGATTCTTGCGCATAAAATCGTAAAATACTTTTGGTACCCGGTGTCATATCTACAATGTACCCATTGCTTGCAAAAGTTGCATTCGAAAGCAGAGTCTACTTGTTCGACAATAGAATTGCAGACCTTGCAATCGTCTGCCTTCTTGGGGAACGTTTTTGTCGTCTTGCCACGTCGTGAACGTTTCTTATTGGCCTCCCTGTTTGTTTCAAGGCCTACTGTGGATATGGGTGTTATAATATTCTCACTTTGTGCAGATTTACCAGTCGGCTCTATTAACCTAGTCGTGTTAACAGAGATGGAGCCACATCCGCTTAGTTGACTTTTCACAGTTTCACTGTAGGACTGCGGCGACATGGGCAATCTGTCCACGCAGGGAATATTTACCTGGTCTTCAAGACCGATATGCGAGATTCCATCACCTTCACCGGTTTGCCTAATTTGGCTGAAGCCCTGGTGACTACGGTTTATGGTCTCCCATTACTTATCTTAGGTTGAGAAACTATATTCATATTACTCCTAAATTAATACCGATGATTAAATAATAAGAGACAGTGGGGTTGTTTTGTGCAATAGACTGACAGCAAAAGACAATAGAAAGCACAGAACAGAAAGATAAAGTATATAAGTAAAAGCTTTTGACTTTACCTGTAACTTTTGGATTATTCGGCTTCACAACAATCACGCAACAGACCAACAAGTCCTGTATATTTGAAAGAGTGAGGGGAGTGTTGCTATAGAAGTAGCACCTGAAATTTAGGCAGTAGTTCGAGACAGTGGGAAGTACCAAACACAGGCTCGGTGAAGAAGAAATGGTTGAATAAAATTCGCCGGATAAGAAGATCAGGTTTCCCAAAGGAATTATTCACAAAAGCGGATATTTCCTGTTAGAGAGGAAAAATCTTTCCCCAAAATCAAGGCCACCTGAAACCCATAGCAGCATAGCAACGGACATCGTGGCGGGGATATGCAATAAAATCACTCCTCTCTATGCATACAGTGCCAATATGAAAACTGGTTGTAGACTACAAGTACTTTTATTTGCATGAGGGTCCTACATAGCATTAAGAAAATCAGTGCATTCACATTGCATACTAATATATAAAATCATCTTTCATAACTTCATGTTATCCTTCATATCTGAGTTATATGGAAGTTGTCGAATCTCAAATCAGCGGAAGTGGTGATCTGCAATCGGTGGTGATTTCAAAGTTACAAGACGAGAAGCTGATTATTTTTCGGAGTGAAAAATTTGGCTGAGTACAAATTTCTTGTTTCAGTTCATATAATCTGATTCTTACTTTTCGGATATTTTCAGTTCCTCTGTGACTATAATTACAGGATGTTCATGATATTTAAAAAAACTTCAATATCGCGCGTCTAACTGTTATAACCCTATGGAAATAGCTTTTTCCTCATGGTGCATTACAACATTTAGAAATCATAAGCACATTGTCTTCGGTAAATTTATTTTTACTTTTTAAGTGACTGCAATTAGTGAGTCATTCGAAGTGATAGGACAAGTAGTTCTAAACGATTTTGTGGAGATTAGAATATATTTACTTCTTCAACTAAGACACGATCTTTTTACAGAGAAGGTTCTCAGGATGTCCACTTTTACTTTGTAATTCAAAGATATCATGAAGTTACTCACCAGGGTAGTAGTTGCAGGAGACCGCCTTCAGTGGAAACTGTTTTAAGGCAACTACTTAGCTGTAGGTAATGCGTCATAGAAGTAAGCAGCGTACGTTGATTGCGTCTAAATATATTAAACGTTATCTAACTGGTCAAATCGTAGTTCTTACATACTAGTGAGTCTTATAAATAATGAATGTACGGTACAAGCTTCTACTTTGATTCGCATACCTAGCTCATAAGCATTATGCCTACATGTGGTATACATCTAGGCCTGATACGGTGTGTGATGAATTCTATGAAACACGCTAACATCATGATTAAAGCAAGAAGAACAGGTCAATCAGGATAAAATGGAATCACCAAAGTGTAATAATTATCTACTTAGATTCTACAAACAGAACTTATAATGCAGAATATAACTCTCAGCATTTGTCACAATATTGCATCTGATTTCCTCATAATATAAATTAACCACAGTATTTAATCCACATTTACGGTATAAAGTCAAAAATATTCGGAGTGCAAAATGAGAACAATAAATATAATAATAACAGTGAGTTTGTTTCAAACACTATGGTCGATTCAGTCTGGAAATTTCAGCATGTTAAATATTATTGAATCTAATTTCCTGCTGATATAGCATAGCGAGGAGAAAGGCAAAAAATAGTAGCTATTACATAGCTTAAATGATGTTTACACGCATGAGAAAATAAACAGAATATTGAGAGGATAATAAATTTAAGAATATTAACAGTAAAGCTTGATGGGATGAGGACGGAGAAAATAGTTCCATCACTAGTGCAAAGAAGGTTGGTTAGTTAGTTCGCCTCTGACACTATTTTCATCGCATAAAATATGTGCCAAATGTGGTATCGTTGATGTTTTATACTAAGACGTGCACGGATACGGTCTTTTGAAATAGCTTCTTGTTTAACTGAAGAGATGCAAGAGGAAAGCTGCAGGTAAGTTTTATGCACACAGTCTGCTAAAACCAAGTGTCCATCGTTAATGACGATTGTAACGATATGACCACAGCTCTGACTGCAGTACAAATGACTTCCTAATCGAGAAGCTAGGCTTCTGGATATCAGAATGTCAAAGTCTCGTAGCCAGCGACTTCAACGCCCCAACAGTTGACTGGACAAGCCTTACAACGCCATCTTTAGACAACGCCTTTGATCATAAACTGCTGGAACATATTATTTTGCTAGTCCTAGTCCAACATGTGACGGGGCCCATGCGCTATGACTCCCAACACTCCTCTTCAACTTTGGAGCTAGTGTTCTCCTATGGTGAGGATGTGGATCTCATACAAAAGCTTCTTCCTTCAGGAAGAAGTGATCGCGCTGTGCTCACTTGCAAGTTCACAGCAACAGCAGCAAGGTCTTCATAGGTCTTCATAGACTTCATCGAAGCCTTCGATAAAGTTCCTCACAAAAGACTACTCATGGAGTTGGAAAGTCTTGGTATCAAGGGCAGGCTACTAGACTGGCTTAGGGAATTCCTCATAGATAGGAGGCAGAAGATTAGGATCAACTCGAAACTCTCATCCTGTACAGCAGTGCAAAGCGGAGTGTCACAAGGCACGGTACTCGGACCTCTCCTATTTATTTTGCATATCAATGAGTTATCTATGCTCATCGATTCCCCTACAATCATATACGCAATGATTTGAAAAATCTGGAGAGAGCTGAAGGGCGACAGTGATGCACCCACTTTTCAAGAGGACCTCAGCAAGTTGTCGGAGTTTTCAAGAGAATGGATACCCCCGATCAATGTAGCAAAATGTGCAACCATGCTCATCGGACAAGCAAGTTTCAGCTCCTACGAACTAGAGGGAATAACACTCCCATAAGTACAGACTCATTTGGACTTAGGTGTTATAGTTAGTCACGATTCCAAAACTGCAGCACGCTATCGCACGGTGGCTGCACTTAGTTTCAGATCCTTATGGGCAATTCGCAGAGCCTCTAAAAGAATCACCAGAGATATGTTTACCTGCTTATATACATATCTGGTGTGGTGAAGGCTAGAAAACTATATCTAGGCAGCCAGTCCTTGTCTTAAAGTGGACACACATATTCGAGAAAGGGTTCAGAGGAAGGCAACACGTATGGTTCTCGGCATGAGTAACTTATCATACGAGGAAAGACTAGATAGTTTAATCTCTCCTCCGTGTGATACCGTAGTTAGAGTGGAGATTTAATCACAGTGTTTTAATCTATAAATAATGACTGCGGACCTGCATTATAGGTAAGATTTTATTTTGATAAACGTCACTGTTACACAGTAGTATTAACTGATAACTTAACTGATGATGACAAACTATTTCTCATAATCATATGAAAAATAATTTGTGCTTGAAACGTCATCAGTTAATATTACTGTGTAGCAGTGACATTTATCAAAATAAAATCTTATCTATAATGGAGTCATACTCTACAACAGTGCCCAATTTCTATATCTATAAGGCTACGGACCTGACCTATTCTCTCTTTGCCTTCCCACCAGGTCGGAACAGCCTGGAGGACATAGCAGAAGAGTTCAAAAGTCAAGAAGAAATCACATTGCTGTTGAGTACTGCTTCCTACACCTTGTCATAAACTCCTGGAACCGACTCCCAGAAGAATTGGTGTCCATGACCTCAACTAATTTATTCAAGAGGGGTTTAGACAATTACAGAAATCTACCAGAAAAGGATTAACATAGGCTCCATGCATTCTATCCACAAACAATAAATCTGAAATCTGATATATATCTTTGATACACTTTTCACCTAGAAAAATCTTATTGGCTATGCTCAAGGTCGTCCAAAGTTGATGTCTATTCTTTACTGTTGCCGTGGGGCCAATGCTTGTCATATCTGTGAAATTTATGCATATTGATTAATTTGCTCCTTTCAGCTGAAAAATATAATGTATACCTGATTTTATTAATGCTATTTCAAAACTTGCCTCAGTAACATGTAATACGTATTGGATGCAAAGTTTCTGCAAAGGAAAATCTACCAATAACAATGTGCATGTGTGACCTTCAAGTGCTCGGCTTCCCCGTAAGACGTTTGTGCCGCTATCCTCAGTGGTGGAGACAACATAAATGTATGATGATGGCATGCTAGTGAGAGAAAGGCTGTGAGTTTGTGGGCTTTTTGAAGTCCGCATAACTAGAATTTGTTTTTTACTTGGTGAATGAATCAGAAGAGTTCCATATATGGCACTATAGTTCTAAAAGCTTGTAGTGTACATTGAACTTTTCTTTTAACTCACTCATCCAATTTTTTGGCGCTACTCCACTTCGCCACCTCACGTGCAGCACTACGCTCCTTGTACATTTTGGCGCTTGTACGTTTTCTCCCTCGCTGTACTTTCCTACAAGCATCTTCCTCGAGTTTCCTATTCCTACGGGTATAGATAAGTGGTAATCCTGTTTTTATATTATTGAGTTATAATTGCATTCGTTATAAATATACGTTTGGTTACAGGCAAGTAGCGAGTCCTTTATTTCTGTCTTTACTCGTTCCTCTGTAGTTGCAGGAAAGGCAGACTTGGGCAAAAGAAGTTAGTCTTTTTGTAAGTGCGATAGGCAAACTTATCTGTGGGTAAAATCAGGCACGAACAAGAGTGCCATACATGGCACTATAGTTCTAAAAGCTAAAGGCGTAATTCCACCCAGTCAGAGAATGCACCTGGGTAATGCGGACAAAACGTGGGCTGAATGGGTCATTTTGATCCACAAAGACGTGAGCAAAAGCGGTCAAAGTGCTACATAATTAACCCACTTTTTCCCCGTTTGCCATGTCCCGAAAAATTTTATTGTCCCAGTTTACTCATTTTTCAACGAACACTACCCATGTTGATTCCGAAAACAGCTCACTTTTTTTCTTTCGGAAAACTGCCGACGTTTTAACCCAGAAAAGATTTCGGGCGCATTGCAGGCTTTGTGGGGGCAGACCTAGGTTCAAATACTCAAAATCTGCAATGCGCCCGAAGTTTCTGGCCCCAAAAATTCTGATGTGCGCCCGAAGAAAATGCTAGCTGGGTATCTCAGGTCCAAAGAAAAATAAATGACAATGTTATATATTTTGACCAGTGTGTAGTATCGAGTACCCCGTATCAAACTAGATTGATTTAATATAATTATCTCATCTTTTACAGATACTTGACGAGTTCCTTATACAATCATTATCTTGAGGATGTCGGTAAGTGATTGTGATTTTAGATGAATTTCATCACACTTCCTTCCAATGTCGTTTTTGCGAGCTAGTATAAACCAATTTGATTTCTTTGTGCACGCCTCTTGATTGTGAGGTATAGGTTCCTGATCTTCGGTAAACTTCTGCGTAGCTCGTCCCGCCACTCGACTGTCGTAGCTTTGGTTGACTCCAAAAGGAGTAGTGCTGGGATTAATTATATGTGTTTTGTAGTATGAGGTGTGTTAAGACTGTTACTACTGTGAATGGAGTTGATCCTTTCACCAGTTAGTCCTCCGGTATCGTCGTCAAAAGAAAAGAGATAATAATAATAGATATAATTAGTTAAGTTATTCAGACTAACAGACAGAAAAAGAATAAGAAAACGTAACAACAGCCAGCTGATTAAAATTGAAGTATAATATGAATAATATATATATATATTTATATACGTATATATCGGTAATAATGATAATAATAATAGGTGCAGTTAAAGTTGTCAGGAGAGTAAGGCGAGAGAGAATGTGAACAAGTCAAACGACGAAATTGGTTGTCTACCCCAGAATGGTGTATGCGATTTTAAGGGGATAGGCCATTTGGATGCCAATTAACTTCTTAGCGTTAGTTTGATTTGATTCTATTCTGATGTAATTTTAGTTGAACTGATGAATAATGACGTTACCGGTGATTCTGACTTTCTCAAAAAGTTCCAGAAGATGCGCAGGGATAAACTGGAATTGTAATTAAGCAGTTAAACAGTAAATGCATTATATTGTTTATCCAGTGTAGCTAGTTTGGTGGAAATCTGGGGGATAAGTATTCAGATACGTCGTTTAAACATTAATGCTATGGACCTGGTGTTCTATGACTCCTCCTCTCGTTAGTTTGTGTATTCAAGTGAAGTTATATTCAGATTATACAGATGGAGGGCTCTCGTTACCTAAGTTAATCCTTGCAATATACATCTCTGCAGAGATCTAATTTCTGTTACTGCTGAGTCAGTTTAGGAGTTCCAGTGCGTCGGTGGCACAGCGGTTAGGACGCTCGCCGACCATGCACATGGTCCAGGGTTCGATCCCCGGTCGACACCCACCTGGCCTGCGAAATTTGGGCTACCGATATCACATGCTGAAAATTCCATACTTGTACCAAAAAGTACTGTGTGGAATCAAGTTATATTAAAATCCTGGAGGGAGAGAAGAGATTTAAAACGTCAATCCCTGAATCACCCTTTAATATGCGGTATGCCAAAATTAAGTCGCCTTTCTTCCTTCGGTATGGTAATGGGAAGAGACTTCAATGCTCCATCGTCTTATAATAAGGAAGGTGTGAGATACCACTAACTGATTTGGTTCTTATCCTCTGTACTCTTTCCAGGATATGTGCCTGCTTCCTGAAGCATGGACTCACCGCTTGTATGCAGTATTCTAGATGACGTCTGACATGTGTTGCATAAAGTACTTGGAACATGCACTCGTCCAGTGTTTTTAAAGCCCTTCTGAGTGCTCATAGCATTCGAAAAGCCTTAGCAGCGGTTCCATTACAGTTTGCCGTTGTTTTTATGTCGTGGCTTACAATAATTCCTGAGTCCTCTTGTCCTCTAACATCTGGCAGTTCTTTCCCACAAGGAGTACGACGCGTAATACCTCTGACCTAGTTGCATTATCGCGCTTTTCTTGGAATTGATTTCCTGACTCCAAAGGTTAGCCCATTCAGCTAACTTATCTAGATTGTTTTGTAGTACCAACCTTTCATCGTTACTGTTTACGGCTTTACATATCTTAATATCGTCCGGAAATAATAAGGAAGATGAGGTAAGAATTTTCGGCACTTCATCTACGTATAATAAGAATAGCAGGAGGCCAAGTACAATTCCCTAAGGTACTCCACTCAGTACTGCTTTCGACCCTGACAGTACACCATCAACATTGAGACTGTTTTGTACCATGAATATAGGCATGCGGTTTTATCAAACAGACAATGTTGACATTACCAGTTAATCGCTATCCATTTATATTGTCATTCCAGTGGCGACTATATTTTGCATATCCAGCAGTCATCAAGTCTTCAGAAGATTAGCGTTCACTTATATTTTACAACTTTTCTCTTAAACGACAGTAGCACAAGTGCAAATAATCGACAGACAAGGTGGAAATCTTTTGTTGTAACTGGAGAGTTTCTAGTTTACTCACAAATTCCATATGATTTAATCCTCGAGCCTTCATGTGGTTGTGGACTGATTTAGATTAGTTGGTTCAAAATAGTTTAAGAAAGATAGCTTAAAGTGTGCAAGTATTGAATCATTAGTAACATCTCAAAACCGCCTGAGTATAACGGTCTTAACGAGCTAGCATGAAGTTTAGATAGGTTACTTAAACCGGGAGTATGATAGTAGAGATTTCCGGATATCTCGAGAGAATCACGTGGTTGTCGCGTTGTGAATCATATATTGTCAGTGTAGTAGGACGCTTGTTCTCACCTTAAGTCATCCTGCTGCGTTATAGCTTATGAGGTAAGAATTTCTAAACCGTTATCACCTTTTTGATGCCACCAGGAGTGTTTACTACGCCTGTAACCGAAGATATATATGTTTATTCTGGCTGGCTGGAGTTGTCATTGCAGTTTAGCCGGTTGCAGTGTATGACTTATCAATGTACTTCTACTTATTTCATGCTTGTCCACTCGTGTATAGTTTTTTGCATCACAGAAAAACAGTTGAAATTAACCTTTTTGAAGGGATTGTTGGAATGGTATTTGTTGTTTTCTTGTTATTATACAATTCCTTTATTTGCGCAACATATATGTGAATTAAATCCGTTTTCACCATTACACAGGACTTGAAAGAAGATGATCACAGATTAAAAGCCAGATTGGACGTGCTAGAAGAAATGGAGACTGCGTTTGTTGCTGAAATACAAAGTCTTGATGAACTTATTGCTATTTTCCAACGTGAATGTCCAGGAGAATTCCGGAATATTGATGATCGCCAGTCAGAGAAATTAAGCGAGATGAACCGTCTAGCTGAGAAGCTTAACGCTCTCGAAAATTTGGAGACTGACCTGTTAAAAAGATTATGTGCTCGTGAAAATAAAGTGGACGAAATTTGTATGGTTAGTTTATTTGTTGTGCTTATGTTTGAACATTTGAATGAGATAAAAAGAGAGACTTCCTCCATTCAGAACAAAAGTCTAGATAGTTGGTGACAGTTTTCTTTCAAACTGATGGGGCATTTATTTTGATTCACTTGAACTGAGAAGCAGGAGAGCGTTTTTACAGTTTAGGATTTGCTGCTTCAGTGTATGCTGTCGCTTCAACGTGACAGTTAGGTGAACCAATGTAGGGCATTCCACAAAGGTGTATCTGAGCCGCGTCTCATCACTCATCTTTTCATGTTGTATGCTGAGTCTGTGAAGTATTACAGTAGTCAGTTCAGAGAACTATAAGCGTAGAACTTTGCATAAAATTGTACTAATTCAAGTTGTCACACTTTGTAAAAGCATATAAAGTTTGTGGAAAGGTCATTAAGTGGAATATAATGAGTATTCCTGGAACGTAGAGGATCACATAGAGCAGAAAGCTGTCTACCTTTGGGAACTATTTAGAGCAATGTCAGTATTTGTGAACAGAGTTATCACATTGAAGTCCGGTTCGTTGGCAGTCATCTTATAGTTTTCATCGTATCACTTCTCTCTCTTTGTTGTTGTTTCTTATGGATCCTTGTATTGCAAAGAATACCGCCTCTTTCAGTATCTCCTACCAATAAGTTTGTTCTGCCTTTTAGATCATCATCTTTATTTAGTCTTATTTCCAGTGCAACTGTAGCCGTTTTGTGGGTGCTTTTGTATTCAGACTGTCTAGTATTTTATTACCTTTAATGGTTTTAACTAATCCAAATGAGTCTAACATTCCTTGTGTTGAATTGTCTTGGTTTCAGTATAGCGACCAGGAATCTTGACGAGATATGCATTGGTGTGTTTGTGAAATCCAAAATCGCTCTGATGGGATAGGTCTCTCTATGTAGTATTGTCACAGTCTATCCAATGTGTAATACGCGATTTTGGCATAATTCCAAACCATATAGGCTTACCAATTGTTTCCTCTCATTGTCTAACTACTTTTCCCGCCTCATCGTTTTGTTGGTGATAGTTTTCGATAATTTGGTCACTAAAAAATAGGTCCCGGATTGTAGATGTTCATTCTTCCCAGTTTTGTGTAGGATTACTGGTGTATTTCTTTCTTATGTGTAAAGGGTTCGTTATTAAATATATAGGAGTAGTGTTTAACATCTAATCAGCAAACAATACTGTTTCATTATGGGTTAGCTTATCACGATTATCGCTGTATTAGTTTGTGTAAAATTCAACTCTTAGAAATGCTTGCATTCTTTTTCAGGATTCTAACAATAGAGCGTTAAAGGCAGTTAAACTATTAGAAAATCATCTGTCCAGAGTGAAAAAAACTGCACAAATGAGAACATCGCGATTGTGTGGATGGATCGAAGGATTAGAAGAGGACGTTTTTTGTTTACAGAGTTATAAAGATGAATTAGAGCAGAAGTTAAAGGTACGAGTGAGTAATTTTAAAGTGTATAGTATGCGTATCGCGTATATATATGTAAAGCCTCCTATGAAGTGAAGTCAGCTCTAAGCCGTTTCACTCTATCCTTAAAGTTGGAGAAGGAGTACAAAGGAGTAGTGTAGCATCACCTTACATTTGACAGGGACGAATCCCATGTCAAACATGCTGTGATTTCTGCTCGAGGTATCCAGAGGAGTGCGTTGTGTCAGAGTCTTTACTTCGAAGGTCCGTATCATCTGAATACACTTTTTTAACAGTGAACAAAAATATGCTCACCTTTCCATCTATGTAGATATAAAAAATAGGTAGAATATAGATTTACGAGTTGATCACGATTGATATCAGTTAGAGAACCAGCACTGGAGAGCTGTTTCACCCTAGTTTGGGAATAATTGGCAGTACGCACCCATTGGGGTTCGAATCCAGGACCTTCCGGTTACAAGGCAAGCTCGTATACCACTCAGCCACTGGGACGCGATTCAATGGCTCATGAGTTCTAACATCTATCAATTCGTAATCAACTCGTAAAAGCAGAACTAATCTTTACAAACCAACTATAGAGAATCTAGATTATTGTATCGACTCAGAGTTGAATTTGCATAGAAACGCATCTCTGAGCACAGACCATTTACATTCTTGGGAACGTCATCACTTAATATTACTGTATAACACTGTGTGATTTATCAAAATAAAACCTTATCCATAATGGAGTTATACTCTACCACAGTGCCCAAGTTTTATACTTACTTGAATAATGCGTTCTTAGGATGTTAACTCAGTAGGGATCTTTTCCTTACTGTTTGAAGGATCTCTAAGTTGTTGGTTATTGTATGGTTACATTCGTCTTAGTGTAACGGAAATTCCATTTCCCTCCCCCATTGTATTTGATCGAAATTATGAAATATTTCGTCTCCACACTTTCAATTATACGTGATTCGAATTTCGAATAATGAGACAGTTTTTTCTAAACCTTCTATTTCTATTCCATTAAGGAATGTCAATCAACATTAGAAAACACTCAAGCTCAGTGTGAAACCCTCCAAGTTCAACTCAATCCCACGATGTCTCTAGTTTCTGAAGTTAGTTTATAATGAATGCAATGTTTGGTTAAATGTATTTCTGAAAATATTACATTTATATATTTCTTGTATTCAACAGAGAGAAGCGTATTTAGACAGTTTGCACTACTTTTTTTCTTACTGTTATTACTAGTACTTTTGTTGTTATCATCAGCAGCACTTAGGTATAAATAATTCACTACTGGTCCCAGTATGTAGCGGTGTGTATCAGTTAAATTGTGTTCCATTAGTATTTGGAGTCAATGCATCGTATTTAACTAAATGAAGAGTATTCGATTTCTTGGTTTTGTGACAATATGAGGACTTTGGCTGATTCATCTGTGATTTTACAGTTCAGGAGATTGTTTCTACCTGGAGAAGACTAGCTGTTATCACTGAGAAACCACCATTGTTGATCTTCACCATGTGGTATACATTCAATAATACCCAACCTGTTTTCTGTACTCAAATACGTATCCTGTTTGTTTGCCTTCGTAAAATGTTACGATAACACTTACGACATATGCATATAAATGTTTCATTACGGAATGTGTCTGATATTAACTTGAGGTACTAAATATGAACAGTGAGTCAACTAGTAAGGTAAAATGATGATGCATAATCATTAATACTTAGAATAAAATGATTATTATTATTATTGGTTGGGATTTTGGCTATATGCCAGGACTACCAAGTACAAAAACTCCACAATACCTTATCTGGCACAGCTGTTATGTGATGAGAAATCCGTTAGATATGACACGATCAACTTACTGCGGCACTCTAACAAATAGTTCCCATTAGCTTTTGTTCTCCTTTCTTTGTAACTATTATATTGTTGCTCACATATTCTATTACACACTAATTTTATATTTCATATCCTGTGGTGCATTGTTTAAATATGTGAATGCAATGCTGTTCTTTTTTTATTTCTTTTATTTATCTTTTTGTTGTTGTTGCTTTTTATTTTTGAAATCTTATAAAAATTTATGAGGTAATTAGATGCAATATTGTAATGCACGCTGAAAATTCCATACCTGTATCACAAATACTGTTTGGAATAAAGCTATTGTTATTATTATTAGTGCATTTACTGGCTATTTGTATTCGTGGATATATTACTGTATAGCCTGAAGTTGTTGAAAATAGTTGTTCACGCAAAAATCATCTTGTTCTGATTATATTATAGGGATATTTAGAGCGATATTTTGTGTCGCTATTTAAAATGTGTGCTATTTTCTCGACACAAATTGTTGCGGATCGAAGGAAGTATGCCTGACTGAATGTCAGTATAACATTGAAATATAATAATATTTACAGAGAATCAACGTGTGTTTAAATAAATTTCAGGTTGATAAAGAACGCAAACTTCTCGAACAAATGGTCGTTAAACAGAGGGAGGAAATCAGAGAATTAAGACGACGCTTGGATAATATGCCTGCAAAGCTTACGTCTTTACTTGTAAGTTATAAATGAGCTTAAAATGTTCGCCCTCTAATATAATTAGCAATATTTTGTAACTTCCTGCCATTGGGCTATTTTGTTTCTCGACAACATCAAAGTAAGTGTTCCAAGGTGAAATCACTCGCAGTACACCGTCATACATAGGCATACTCGCTTGCTTATCGTGATAAGACTATTGTGGTTGTTGCAAATTTCCGGATCTATGCAGCAATAATAATACTGGACTTGTAGATTTGTTCTTACTATTTCTTCAATACAACGATAATATATGACTGACCACTTGAACTATTACCACACCGAGAAGACTGAAAAGGTAATGGTTTATTTCTTTATTCAAAAAAGCAATATCACTGGAAATTGCAGCTGTGTTGTTTATTTTACACAGCCAATAAATTACTAGTTTATTATATGGAAAACTTTGTTTTGGTTGGCCAGTATGTATCGATGAAAGTCCACTAACCTGGTCCTTTACCTGTCTTTGGGGTTAAAAGTCTGATATGAAGGTCATGTAAATAATGAGGGATAGTAAACCTCTTTGTCTCCTACCAAGCACTAATGACATTCAACTATTAGGTTTTATAGACATGGGGATGCAAAAATTTGGATACAGTTGAATGAAGTGTTGATTTCATTTATATTCGGTGTATCCGACCAACCTATTTTCATCACATTGGGAAAGCACTTAGATGGATGTCTTCTTTAATCTAGATATATTTGACATTGTTTTTAAGCAAGTAGTAACAATTTCAGTATATATTGAACGAACGGCTCTGATCCTACTGGAGTTCTAAATGCTAATTGCACTATATGTCTAGTTTTTGAATGAATGAATGAATGTCATCGTGGTTTTCCAAAGTTAATATTACAATGCTCATTTCTCACGCTTTTTTTTCATAACTTGAACGTTTTCATTTTTCATATGGTGCCTACGTAAAAATAAGGCTGCAATACGGGTGGATTCGTGTCCAAACAAGGAGATAATGGATATTTTAGATGATCAAATTGAAGATATACGTTGGGAAAATAAAGAAATTCATCGAAAAATAAAAGATTATGAAGAATTAAAGGTTGGTTCAGTTTAATTTCTATTTATTTATTAAGTATTCAGTTGTTTATATAATCGATAGGAAATGCAAAAAACGTACTGTGGAATTTTCAGACTGAAAATTCGTTCTAGTAGTAGTACAGTTGGACTGTCTTTATTTGACTGTTATGAGAATTTTTTGGCTCAGATCAGATAGGTAGGTGACAACTGTTAGTTCCATAAAGCCATGTATAAGTTTCAGATGATTCTGTAAAACCAATATCAAAACCCCTTTTTTTAAAATAATGGTCCCGGTGAATTATTCTAATACACATACACAGCCTAGGTTATAAACATTCTGTTAACATATTGTTAGTTTTTCTCCTCAAGATTTACTTCAGCAGAGCACCCCACCCCGCCGCGCCCCCTCTTTCGATTAGTATTCTTATTCTCTTTTTCCATCAGTGCATGAACAGAAGTAAATTTCCAACGTGGAATTCTTCCTCCATCTGCAGCAGTTCAACGTGCATACAATTCATCAAGCACTACTATCAGTGCATAGTGAAAATGAATATTTTTAGAATAGATTTTGTACAGGTTACCCATAGTTATTTATGTACTCAGCTTACTCTGTTTTATTCTTTTTATGAGTGTCAATCGAATTCGTGACTACACAGTCTGTTGTCCTCGTCACCTCCAGATAGCATTTAATAAGTATTTTTCATGACCAAGTAACTTTTTCAGTTATTGCTGTCACTTATAATGTGTTAAATATTTTTGTTCATTGTAGGCGAAGAGGAAATGCGAGAAATCGCTGGAATCTCCTGAATCGCCAAAGGATGCTGAAAAGGCCGAGGCTGCTATTATGTAAGATAAAATTTAGATATTTTTACTTAATTCAAACTGTTGTTTTTAATTTATTCACTGTTTTTAATTCTTTAAATACTTATTAATAAAATAACTAGAGGGTTTTCTTCAAAAAGTTAAGTATTATGTGACTATTGGACTGATAAATCACAAATTAAAGTAATATGCAAAATAAGTAATTATAATGTAAGCTAATTGAGGCAGTATTTCGGTCAGTAGAAAACCAGGAGGTTTTTTCGAGATTCGAATATGCTTCTCTTCCTTCAGTGGTACTAAGCTGTAAAAAAATAGCGTTTGAGTGTGTCGATCAATCATACTTATGATGATGCATAATCAATTTCGGCGGCTAGGAGATGAGCGAATACATGAACTGGTGTCAACAATCGATAATTTGCATTCATGGATGATTGGTAATGTGTTGTCCACATATATGATGGCACTGTGACCTTAGTCAATTAATCAGGCTCTTTCACTTATTAGAAATATCAGATCTGTGTATATAGTATACATGTGCCTCCGCCTCTACGTGCAACTCGCCACTTCGTAATTATTATTTATAGCTTAATACCATTTACAGGGATTAAAAATCAATCTTCTGAATTATCACTTTTATTTACAATCGGGTACACTAAGGTGTATTCATCACAAATTGAGTTCTCAATTAATGTATAGAAACAGTGAATTATCTAACTTAAATTGATTGGTTAAGTTAATATGAGTAATGCCTTCATTGACAATGAAATCTATCAAAGAAATCAGGATAATCATCAAGAGTCATTTTAATGAATAAAAAAAATAAAAAAACTCATTGTTGCTGCTGTTGAAAATGTAGTTCCACTCTTTTCCACTTTAGTTTATATAGTATTATGGTAGAAGTTTCCCAATCTTTCTTTTTGATCAAAAGATTTAGTTGTATGTCAGCCATACAAATTATGCTTTTTGACAGGGATCTACACTCTCTTCTGCAAAAGTTTTTTGACCCATCTGTTTTTGCTTATTATAAAGAAAAATTGTGTGATACCTAAGTGTGTCTTTTGCTGTATAAGCTTGACTGATATAATAATATGTAAAGTTGTAGACTCAATAACGCCGATGCGGTGGTTAAGCGGTGCGAGAAAACCAGGTAGGCCTTAGACCAGGAAGAGAGAGAGTGTATTGATGGTACCTTCACTCTTCAACAAATTCTGGAATATAGACATACCAGTGTCCAACACTGCCATGTTTTATTGGGCACTAGTAGCTAGTGTGATGCGTCTACTCCTTTCTTTGGTGCAGACTGAATTCTATCAGTCACGTTTGCAATGTGGCCACCATTCTAGGTAGCTCGCCATCACGGTGACCTCCTATAGGAAGTCAGTCGCAAGCCCGAATAGTTCAGTGGTAACGTCTATGACTGCAGCACTGAGTGACGCAGGTTCGAATCTCAGAAGGGACATGAGTTCCTTCAAGGTTGCAGATACGCCCTACTGACGAGCGCCAACTAGCACGAAACCTAGGTCAGGCAAGGCTTCCTGCGGCCGATTGCCTCCAACCAGCTAATACTGCCACATTTTATCGATATAAGGATAAAATTTGGGCACTGTGGTTGAGTATAATTCCATTATGGATAAAATCTATTCACAGTGTTATACAGTAATGTTATTTACTGATGACCACGTTTCGAGCACAATTTATTACTGCTCATAATCATATCCAGGTACTCACACTTGGTTTTAGGCATATAGGAATGTATAGGCTGTCTGGTTGGTGTCCTCGAGGTGATAAGAACAAATGGCTGGAAACTATTGATGATATGGCTCGAAATCGTTGTCAATGGCGCAGAAGCATTCACACTTTGGGATGTACTATACCGTCATGTTCTCCTATGTCAATATTTTTCCTCTTGCATATTTCTGCTTATTATAATTCTTTTGAAATTAATTTTTTCTCTTTGTTGTTTACCTTAGTGTGCAACTGGAACTACTGTACTTGTGTGCAAAGTTCTATGCTGGAACTCTGTTAGTCAGTATTGTACACAAAATTAATCCAATCTCATATCATTTTCTTCTCCATAGGGCAGTGGAATAGTTAGTTTAAATAATCTTTTTTTAATTTGTTTTTTTTGCGTTTTCCTAATTCTAAACACCACTTTACTTTTGTTAATGACATGCTGCCAACCTCTCTGTCTATCTCCCACTTACATGGTTCCACAATTTCTTTTGTAGGCATTATTGTAGGAGTTTAGATCTTGATCGAGAAAAATCCCTCCTAGACACTGATCTCGTTCAGCAGAGGATAATAGAACTTGGCCATAAGCAACGCAACCTGAAAGGAGAGTTACGTTTCCTGAAGGAAGAAAATTCGCGTTTGTCGACTCAAGCCACTGAAGTTAAGGCGCAACTTGATGCTCTTCAGAAAAAGTGAGGCATCTGGTGACAGAATTAAGCCTTCAAGAAGTGTTCTTCATTGCAAAAATGTACTTTTCAGAATATAAACCTTCTAAGGCGAATATTTATTGGTACTTCTTTCTCTTAAAAACTAAGAAAATTATTTCCACCCCACGGAGTATGTGATAATGTTTGTTACTGGCCCGATCACCAGTAATGCTTTTCTTTCTTTAGAAATTATTATTATTGTCATTATTCGAATGGTAAACTTACTTGACAATAATTACAACAGTATTCTTCTGACTATTCTCTATGCTACTCCCATTATGTGTTTATTGTACATTTTGTGACACAATAGAAACTAGATTTGTATTCTGTTAGAGTCATGATGTAGTGAATTCGAGGTTGAATACTGCAGATGCGGCGCTGATGTCGTCGTTCAGCTCCGAGGTAAAACAACATGGTGAAATGAGCAACTATGTTTCACAGCAATATATAAGTTGCTGGCAAATAGAAGTCAACCAGAGAGTTTATTGAAATTAGCTACTTCAGCAGTTGCAACTTATTTATGATTTGAAATTGATCCTTATGGACTCTGTTCACATTAAGGAGAACTAAAGACTCAATACACGGATTTATGTTCTACTGACTTACATAGAAGTAGTGATGTGCGCGTCAAGGTAAAAAAGGAATTGAGAGATTTTGAGTAATCGGTAATAAATCTTTCATGGAGTCACGTACTAACGTGAAGTAGTTGGTTCAATCTATGAATTTATCAATGGTTCAGCTGGCGAATCCACCAGCTGGAAATGTGAGTGAATGGCTTCACAAGAAGCTGAATCGATCCTTGTCTCTCGTTCCAACCTTATATAAACGGATACAAAGATAGGCGACGTGATCTAAATTGAGGTTGAGAATGATGAAGTACGACAGGTCAACACGTCCTCGTGCAGAGTCGTATTTTGCCATTTACTTGCAAAACATTTGATTGTCGACAGAGATTCTAATGTTGTAATTGTGGAATGTTTAGCTGTTATTTTTGATTTCAACTTAAATGAGAAGCTCAAGGGACATAAAAATTTTTCAGATTATTCGAGTGGCGTATGTATGAATGCTTACTGTTTGTAACTGAGAGAAGACGTAAGCAGGAACCAGTGAATCAAATAATTTGTCAGAATAATTGGTGGTAGGAGCACACACACACACACATAAGCGTAGGACGTGATTGTCTAGCATTTGGTTTGCGTGTGGGATCAAATTCGAAAACTGTAAAACTTGGACGAAAAAGTTACCGACTATTGATTGATTTTGCGATGGTTGTTTTCGCTCAGTGGCGTCAGCTACTCAGAGATAGATGACCGCCTATATTTAATTATCTGATCGTACCATGAGATGATTACTGGCCAACAGAGAATACAAAGTGTTGTAGACAGTGTGATGATATGAAAGTATATATATATATATATATATATATATATATATATATATATATATATACGTGACCGAAGTCTCAGTGATGAGAATCTACGAATTGCGTGAAATAAGGTTAAGTTATAGGAAGTATGGCTCATAGATTTTACTCATAAAGTTAGTAATTTTTCATTTCTTCATGTAAAAGAAAAATATACATGATATTAGTAGTGTTAATATACCACTACTTATTTAAACATTGCAAGTTGAGTTTATAAGCACCTTTCTGACATTTGTGTTTTCACACAACAACTGTGCTAATTACAATAATTATTAGCCGTTTGAGCATAAATTCTTGTGAAATTTCTGCTTCTACCAAAAGACATGCGAAAAAAGAAAAAAACAACGTTCAGCAGAATGAAGAGGATATCGCGTATCCGACAGGATGTGACTTAAGCCATCTGCTTGCAAGAATTAAAATGTCTATCAACAACAATTAGTCAGTTTGTTGGGGCAAAGGTACACCACTAAACTTGGTGAGAGACTTCTAAATCCTACGCAATATAACATAGTCCTTTTCGAGAAGCGCAGTGAAGAACAAGGCGGAGGGGGGATTATAAAAAAGAGTGGGTAAAATGCACGATATATTCAAACGTGAGTGAAGAGGTTGAGTTATGTCAGAAAGTCTCAACTTCCTTATGCAATAAGTGGAATGAAAGATTTTCTTAGGCATCAACAAGATATGAGGCGGCTAACGAAAGTTGGAACAGAAAATGATAACAAGATAGGTATTATTCGATTTATTCGCCACAACAGTAACGCCGAAATTACAACAAACTTGGAAAAGAACCTAAAATTAACAGTAACAGTTAGAAGGGTTTGGTTTAGGAGCGAATCAGTAAGGCTAAATAAGCACATATTTCTATCTCAACAACCTGCTCACCGGAAAAATTGTCAAATTATTCAACAACCCTAGTGAAATTTGGGTTGAACACACAGAAAAAATCGAGACAGAAGAGTAGCTTAATCAAACATCAGTGAAAGTAGGATCAGACAATACAGAAAGAGAAGTTGTCATGTAGCAAGAGGAAGGCTGCCAGTGAAATGAATGACAACGGGGAACAATTTACACACTTATGCGTCTCTAGTGATTTCATAATTAAAGTCAGCGTAGAGAATCAAATATTTTTTACACAGGTTATGATTGATATGTTTGAATTTAAGTGGAATATGATGGAAGCATTGGCTTATCTCCGGGTGATTATATATGACATTACGTGGGGGAATTTGTGTTATTGGCACCTTTAGTGATTACGAGACACAACTTATAAATGTAGTGGAGCAAGTATCCACTCTTCCATACGAGCATAAGATCATATGTGGAGACTTCAACCTACCCGAAATCAACTGGGACTTATTAAAAGAGCCAACTAAATACGACAAGC